TCGGAGGCGCTCGGGCAGTTGTTAGCAAATCCCACCCCTCTTGGCTGAGCCTTTGCTCGCCCACCTGTCCTGGTGAAACTGGAAAGGCCTTCGGGCCACCAGTAAACTTTCAACCATAAAAAAAAAAAAAAAAAAAAAAAAAAAAAAAAAAAAAAAAAAAAAAAAAAAAAAAAACTAACGAACAGCAATTAATTTTTTCATATATAGATAATAGATAATGATTTAAATATGGTCTTTTTCAATAATCTTATATTCGTGCTCTACAAATAAAGGTAGCTGAACATAAAAGATGTGAATTTTATTTTCGCAATTGCGAGGGTAGTAATGAAATAGTTGAGGTTTTATAAATAAGTACATGTCCACACAGGCCTGTGATACATTTTTGGAGTAGTTATTATAACTTACATACATCAGCAATATTAGCGATACAGCAAAACTGATTCATATTACCCTAACATTTTGTAGGTAAATATTGTCCCTGACAATAAACGACGAATGATTCTTAATTTTTACCCTACTTATCCCTCGTAGCGTAAGGCTTCCGGCTACTCGCGGATTGGTAATCTATTTATATAAAAAATAATTGCTGTTCGTTAGTGTCGCTAAAACTCGAGAACGGCTGGACCGATTTGGCTAATTTTGGTCTTGAATTATTTGTAGAAGTCCACGGAAGGTTTAAAAGGTAGATAAATACGAAAATTCCTTGTCTGCCGGGTCAGCTAGTCAGAAATGAGGATATTTAAACGCCTTGCAAGCTATAATCAATGATATAGAAGTCAATAGAATACAGTAGTACAGTAAGGTGGTATTTTGCTAAACTTAATACTCTTCAATAAAAAAAAAATATATATATTTACAAAAAACGTATAGGTATTCGATAACAAAATACCATTATTTATGTGTAAAGTACATAATAGCGGATAAATAAATTCCATTTCCTTTAGATAAAATACCAGACAGCGTTTAACAATAAAATATCATTTAGTTAGATAAAATATTAATTGAATACGAGATAAGATTAATTCATGGTGCCTACGATTTTTGAAGGATTATCGATCACATGTAACAAATTTTACGTAGACATTTAAAGTTATAGACAATTATCCGGCACTGGTTATAGCTTATCTTGTGAGTCCGCACGGGTAGGTACCACCACTCTGCCGTTTTCTGCCGTGAAGTAATAATGCGTTTCGTTGTGCTGTACTATAAAAACTGAGACAATTGAACTCATGTCTCGAGGTGGGTGGCGGCATTCACGTTGTAGTGTCTATATGTTCCGGTAAACACTTAACTTAATGCGACATAAATGGTCAGGGTAGTGGTACCTACTCCTCCGGGTTCACCAGACGTCCTACAGCCAGTACCTAATTATGAAATTTTTTACTAGTTTCATTTTGATTACACAATGTTATTCTTTTACCGTGGAAGTCATTCGTGAACATTTGTCGAAAACGTTTTTCATTCGATAAATTGGTACCCTTGTTAAGTAAGTAGTGATATGGTTTCCATAAAACNCCATTGAACTCATGTCTCGAGGTGGGTGGCGGCATTTACGTTGTAGTGTCTATATGTTCCGGTAAACACTTAACTTAATGCGACATAAATGGTCAGGGTAGTGGTACCTACTCCTCCGGGTTCACCAGACGTCCTACAGCCAGTACCTAATTATGAAATTTTTTACTAGTTTCATTTTGATTACACAATGTTATTCTTTTACCGTGGAAGTCATTCGTGAACATTTGTCGAAAACGTTTTTCATTCGATAAATTGGTACCCTTGTTAAGTAAGTAGTGATATGGTTTCCATAAAACTGAGGACATAGTTCGCACCAGCCTCATATAGAAAGCATTTTAGCGATAGTTGGCAACTGTGTCCATGTGTCCACAAATTAATTTCATCAACCTGCTAATATTGTACCCTATTTTTAACTAGCACCTAAGCTAACTAGCACCCTACTACCTATGTTGAGATCAGAGCGAAGTGTCAAAATCATTGAATATTTTATGCTTAAATTTTGATGGCGGTATATTTGTATTTAGTAAAATTGATTCATGTCTCAGAATCCTAATAGCAGTTTTGTCAAATGACGAACAAATTAGGTTGCAGACGCATCAAAACTTTATCGTATCTACCATAAGATAGGCTTCTTCCATCAATGGATGACCCCGTTCGCCCATGCATAAAACAGCACCAGTATAGCTTTACTGGTGAAAATACCACATTATTCGATCTTTTTAATTAATATACCTATTTCGATTACAATACCAAATGTACAAATTCCCGTAACCATAACAAAGATTCCAGACTGACGGACGTCAAATATTTAAAAAATTTCATTATTTATTGCAGATAAACATCGGAAGACGCGCCATGGGAGCTTTGTCTGTCAGATTTGGAACTCTCTACAGGACCGGGAATATAGCTGAGGCGATCTGTGAGTAAAACTCGATCTATTAAAAATTTAAGAAACGCGAAAAAAAAATCGTTTGGGATGGGTGAAGCCTAAATGTTTTCAGACAACTGTTCGGTTCTTTATTGGTAAAAACTTTTCATCAAAAATTTTTCCAACCTATACTAATTAATAGCCTTGAGAGGCTATTTCGGTTTTCCTTGACGTCTAGGTGAGCTCATGAGTTTCAAACCGGGAGTGTTGCTAACACTGGCCCTAGCAAAAGCAATGCTTCGCAGAATCTACCCCCGGAACGGAAACGCGACCCACTGAGAAGATCCGGCGAGGAACTCAGTGGGCTGTGTCTATGGGTTAATTCACACATCGAGCCCTTCGTCGCAAGCGACGGGTTCGATGAGGACGGTGACCGGTGCTTGTGTTACCTAAAAGCACCGTTAATGGATCGGGCGGATCCGCAATGACTTACTTAGGGCACATTAAAAATTTTTTTTGTTAGTTACAAATATATATTTTATTGTTATAGTTAACCAAACGAATTCATATCCCACATTTTCTATTTAGTCTCATATTTCTGCTTTGAGAGCAGCTGTACCCGTTAAGCTGGATTAGGCAGGATGGTAATACGTTTATACATATACCAGTTACTACGAAAATTAACAGATTCTTAATAGGTCTTTATATTCTTAATAGGTCTTTTTATCGATATATGTATTTTAGGAAGCTATTCATTTACGACGTGATAGGTATTTTTTAAGGTAACTTTTAGCTGTTTCAGCTTCGAGTTTGAAGAGTGGAACCTTGACTACATGTCTCAAGGTGAATAAGGGCATTCATGATGCTATGTTAATGGGCCCCAATGACCACTTAAAACTCAGGCCGTGAGTTGGTACGCAAAATTGTTTCGTTCAGGCATTTGGTTACTTTAACACGTCTGGTAACTACCTAATGTCCTATATTTGATACAGGATCATTTTATTTTTATTTTCCAGACCTCGCTACTGGAGGTAGCATTGATTGGGTTAAAGAGGACTTAAACGTTCCACTCGTGTACTGTTACGAGTCTCGCGATAGAGGCCAATACGGTTTCCTGCTGCCGCCAGAGCAGATTCTGCCCAATAGTCAAGAAACAATGGATTCTGTGCTGGAATTAATCCATCAGGGCAGAAGATTTGGGTACTTAAACAACAGCGGAAGAACACTGTCTCCACTACTTTGGGTGATGATCGTAGCATTGGCCAAATTGCTATGGGTATACAAATTTTGATTTAAGATTTTAGCGTCGGAATAAATAACAATTTATTTGTTATTGTGCTGTTTTTTATTTATTTATTATTTATTCCTTCAGAGATCTTGGCTCAGTAAAAAGTTAACCTTAAAAATGTGTTTGTCACATCGAATGGAATATCTAAAAATATTGTTAAATGCTAATAATTGATTTATATTTTTATGGCAACATATTACCGTTACCCGAGTAACGTTATTTTTAATTTAGTATCCTATTTTTTATTTCAATTTTATAAACTAAACATTGCAGTCCCGCAACCAATCCGAGTATTATTTTATAGAATTACTTTTCATATTAATACAAAAGTGCTATTAAAATATACTATAAATTATTCATTATGCTTTTATACGAAAAGGAACAAATAGAATACTACTGCGGCTTAAAATGTGAGAGCTTCTATTGACTGAGACTGCCGTATAACACTATGTGAAGATTTAGCCGGCGGCCATTACGTTATATGAGAGGGCGGACAGCGGATGGTCGGTGTTATACAACATGAGACATTTCTCAATATTATGGGACCTCCTCGTTCTAATGCGATCTTTATTTGATCGCCTTGTTTGTCTAAAATGTACGTCATGTAATTTGAGGGGGCAGACGGGCTTTTGGAAATAGTTTATTTCGACAAGAGTTTCCCGAGTAAAAGAGAAATTAGAATTTTTTGATAAAAAAAAAATTTCAAGCCTATCGACGAACCACCGCTCCACGGTGTCCGCACCACAACGCTGAACCACCGCCGCACCACCGCCATTTGGCGGAAAATTCCGCCGCACGCTTCGAAAGAAATCTCCCAGCACCGCCGCACCACAGCCGAAGCATAGCCGAACGTTTTGAATTTTTTACGTTTATACATTTAATAAACACTGGACGTAAAAAACCTTTATATTCACACACACACACATATGTATGTATATGAGAATGATATGTCACTGCTGTAGTGCAACGGTAGTGCAGCGAACCCAGTCTTATTAAACAGTCGCGGCTATAGTGCGGCGGTGCTTCGGCTATCAAAAAAAAATTCAAATCGTCACAGTCATAGTGCGGCGGCGCTTCGGCGATTAAAATGCCGTGCGGCGGTGCTTCGGCGGTGATTCGGCCAAATTCTGTTTTTACTCGGGTTGAAGATTTTAATTAAATTGCGTGGGATCAGAGAAACATTCATTCGTTCGAGTTCAAACACACACTATACATAGGGTAAACTATACATACGGTACACTGTACATTAGTTTTCGATGTCTTGTCTTAAGATTGATGGAATTCTCATTATGTTCACGGTTTTCGATATTTTGATTACTTAATAATAAGTGAAATGAAAACTTATCCGTATATCAATTATCTATTAATCCTCAATTATCAATATAGATAATATTATAAATTAATCCGTCTATCGATCAATCAGATTTATTTAAAATTCATCAATTCTACCCATTCTCAATTTTCAATTTATATTGACACAGCACATTATTATTATTATGCTTTAAGAACATTATTGATATTCGTCCATTTTATTTAAATCCCAACCGCAGCTTATGTTTTTTACGCGTTTTACTTTAGTTAATTTAATAGTGTAAACGTGATGGACAGTTAGGACAGTAACAAAAAAATACCCTATAATGAACTTTATGGCCACGAGTGCATTTAATACGTCACTGCGGTGCGTCAGGGATGTTTGCGAATGCGCGAATAGATGCTTCGTAGCAATCATTCGTAAACGAATTGCTTCCTTCGCCGCGTGCGGGTCAGTCGCATCAGCTACCTGCGGCTGTTCGCCTCAAGGATGGATCTGGACTGCCCAATAATGCAACACTGGACACGTGTGCATGTTGAGCACTCTGGATCCAAACCAACCCTTAGGTTAAGGTAGTTTTGACGTTAATTTTGAGTTTTTGTTTTGTTATTATTATTATTTGATTTTTTGTTATATTATTATTATTGCTTTTGTTCTATTCCGAGATTGTAGTCATTGTTTTTATTTAATTCTGGTATACTATATGAAATGTTAATGAATTTAATATGGATGCAAAATCTGAAGAAAATGAAATAAATTAATTAAAGACTCAGCTCCTGAAATCCACTTACCGGAGCGGTAATATTACAAATTAACTTTCCTAGATTCCAGAGATTGGCTAATGTTGCATACCGCCCTCCCCGGAACCACGACTGGTCGCGCGTTATCGCGATCTCTCTTTGAGCCACACTCCACGAGCCCCAAGCTCTGTACTGCGGATAGCTACGGCCTTTGTGAGGTTAAATTTATAAGCGCAGAGCCGCAACATGTGGAAGTGGTAACGACAAGGGTAAGGCTATTGAGAATTCGGGGATGTTACCGTTAGCTATTCTTATTCATATATCCGAACCCGAATTTTTCGGCCAAAAACGTTCCTCTCAGATATTAGAGTGCTCTTTATAGTCGCAGCATATAGTCTTAGCAAACCTGAATGACGTCACTTATCTTCAGATACCTATAAATTGGATTTCTATTGTGTATCATCTATCCCGACTTTTAAGCTGGAATCAGGAATAATACGAAGTGGCAGTAGTGCAGCCTATGTTTATCCACTTTTCTTCATGAGACAGGAAAGTCCTTGCAAAAGTGAATCATTGAATCGACAAAAAGGTTGACTTCGGTACTAATCTTTGCGGTAGCAATAACGAAATTTTGGAATTACCACGTGCCTTCGAGATACGGATACCAGGTATACCAGACGCTTCCTACCTCTTCAGAACATGGTAATTTATGTGAAACCTATCGAAGTAAGTTCAATTTACGATTTTGTATAGCGTAGTGGAATATCTGGCCTCCAATATCCACTTGACAACAGGTGGTCTATGAGCTCGTCCCCATAATTATTATCTAGTGCACAAACATGTTTTATCGATCACGTGTTCTTAAACACAAAAAGCTTTTGAAAATCATATCATCATAAATCGACGGTGATTGGCTACTGCGCGAGCAGAAGTCGCAGCGGTGGCAACCATAAGGCGATTATCGTGATCCGCTGCCTTATCGAAGTACCTTTCCGACGGTAACTTCAAGTGTTTCAGGATCGATTCAAGACCCAGATTATCGTTTAGGAAAAAAGCATGTATAAAGAGCTCGTTGATGAGCTTACCAGAGTTTACCAGCATACCACAAAAGAAGACAAAGAATCGAAACAGGAACATATTGACATTTACGTAGTTTTTACGCAAGGTTCAAACTAAAAAAGTAACTAATTTAGAATGAGCAGTCAGAAATAATCTAATTAGGATGTTCTGAAACCATTTCTATCACCGTTTTAGAATAGGTAAATTACTTGACGGGAAATAGTGCTACAATGAATCTTTGTGCACTAATGAACAGGACCTATTGCATGTTTATTAAAGAGCGGCCAAGTTATTGTTACCTGTTTCACGGAAAAGCACTCAACTATAATGGATTTTGGGTGAAATTAATTATTTTCACCGTTGCGTGGGTTCAGCTCGGGAATTTTTGATGTGTGAAATTCAAACGATGCAGCGTTGGAGGAATTCCGACGTTGATTGTGTTGACTTTAAAACGGTTTTTGTTTGCCTGCCCCCGACAAAAGTGTTGCCATTGGCTCTGAAATTTAATTTGTAACGATACAGGAATTTTTCGTAGTTCGAAGAATAGTGTTTCGTTCATTAATTATAAAACAGTTTATTTGAATTATTATAACCTTTTATTGAAAGAGTTTCCGTTTTTAACTTCCACTTGAGGTTTATCGCTGGTTTTTTTAATCCTTTTAAGGTCACATTTTTGCAGATTTCCAAATCGCTTGAAAACATTATCACATTTCCAATATAAATGTCGTGGATAACGACTTTAGTAATATTAAGACATTGTTTTGATTATTATTTTAAATGATCAAATGTTGTTTTGATAAATATCACAAAAATGTAGGGTNCCGTTTTTAACTTCCACTTGAGGTTTATCGCTGGTTTTTTTAATCCTTTTAAGGTCACATTTTTGCAGATTTCCAAATCGCTTGAAAACATTATCACATTTCCAATATAAATGTCGTGGATAACGACTTTAGTAATATTAAGACATTGTTTTGATTATTATTTTAAATGATCAAATGTTGTTTTGATAAATATCACAAAAATGTAGGGTAGACGCCGTAACGCCAGAGTATAAAATGGCGGTACGTGGACAGAGTCGTCTCAGGCAGTCTGTCAGTCGGTCAGTTGAAGCGAAACTGTGGATTGTGAAAATTATGTGTTGAGAGTTTCAATAATTATTATTCAAAAGGTTCTATTGACTTTTATTGCAATAAACTAAGTTCAACCGAATATTAATGATGACGGAATCTGCCGCTCAGCCATAACTGGCGCCGTCATATACTTACTATGTGTTGACCAAGAACTAACCTTTTTTTACCGCCCTGCCTATTTCTGCCGTGAAGCAGTAATGCGTTTCGGTTTGAAGGGTGGGGCAGCCGTTGTAACTTACTTGAGACCTTAGAACTTATATCTCAAGGTGGGTGGCGCATTTACGTTGTAGATGTCTATGGGCTCCAGTAACCACTTAATACCAGGTGGGCTGTGAGCTCGTCCACTCATCTAAGCAATAAAAAAAAAAAAAAAAAAAAACCCAGATCTGCAGACAAACACACAGTCTATCTGGTATTTAGTGATGCTGGAGCACTTGACAGTATGGTGGTTAAGAAGCGTTTGAAAACTAAGCTCACGTACGAAAATGGGGCCATTTGTTTTCCTCCGAAATAGAGGAACGGTCACCTAGTTTTTGTTCGGGCACAAATTGAATTTCTGTTCTGTTCGCCAGCGCAGTTTTGTTGTTCAAATATTTTCGTAGGCCTCGAAAACTGAATTTGATTTGTGGTCTTTTTTCTCAATCCAAACACGCTCTCTGTGTTTATTTAGCATGTGACGTATTGGAGTGTGTTCGCGTCATATTTAGATGATTGGAGTAGTTCCATTAAATTCTTTCATTAATTCTATCATAGGCATAATTACTTTAGTTCTCAAATTTCTAACAAACTATAATCTGTTAATATGAAAATTAAGAATTTCTCTAACGGTGAAGAAAATAAATAATAATAAAAAAGATATGACGTGGTGTCGTGGGACACCGGATAGGAACGAAGCTCCTTATTATAAAAATATTAATTTTAAGTTCTATTCGAGTTATAAAGAAAATAATTATTCGGGTATACGTTTTTAATATGATTTTTTATTGACAAAAAAAAATAAAAAAACTACTTTACAAAGTTATCAAATTTATTTTATTCACAATGATTTATAAAAAATATATAATAATAATATACAAAGAAACAGCTATTTCTATGAATAATAATAATAGCCGTCATCACGTAGACTATACATTAGACACTGTATAGCCATCATACTAAGACTATACATAAATAATAAAAATCTTACGTTACGGACGTTTTTTCCCGGTTAGAGTATCCCTCCGCATCGTCCCATAAGGAACTTCGTTCCAATAGGTTTAACTGAACTCGAAAGGTGATCAAATTCAAACGAATATATTTGAAACATAGTTATTTTTCTTTCTCAATGGAAACTATGCATGAGGCCATTAATTGCTTTGATTTTACTGACACACGCAAAATCGATTTTTTTTATTGCCCTTGTAGGCAGACGAGCATACGGCCCACCTGATGGTGAGTGGTTACCGTCGCCCATGGACTTCAGCAATGCCAGGGGCAGAGCCAAGCCGCTGCCTACCGCAAATTGAATTTGACAAAGAAGTGTCTAATGAAGTTCAGTTTATCAGAATACTAATTCGAACTAAACCTTTTTAATATCAACTTTTATGAGGATGTTACGTAAATGG